TTGAAGTGCACCTAAAGGTCGTAACAAAATATCCAGTCGTGGTGCATCCTAAGGTTGTAATGTGACACTAAGTCACTGCTTGATGTGAGCCTAGATCTTGAAAGACTCAAGGGATCTAAATAGAGCTGGTTTGGATTATTTTCATATTGTTTTTAAATAATAACATTACTTTTGTGAAACTTTCAAGTAATTGAGAGTCCAAAGTGTAAAAAAAACATTACATCTAATGAAAGATCATGTAGGTGAAGGCTCGGATCAATGAATCAAGCCATATGTGGCTTCTTTGGTACCATATTGTTGCAATTAATGCATGGCATGGGCACATAAATTAATTTTTTAGCTTCAACTGCCTAGTTTGACTATGTTGTATGGATGAATTAGTGCTTCATCAACTTTAGAAATGTCGATCTATCCAAAGTACCTAATAGTAGAGAATTCACATTTTAAATCTCCTCATTTATAGCTTGATTACTCATGGCCCATGGTAATCTCTCTTGTAGAAAAAAAGACTCTTTTTTTATTGCATTCCATATAAGTTCAAAAACTTCAACCTTATTTGGACCTTGATTTGATTAATCATGCTTGTGATGTTATAGAAGGAATGCAATAACATAGTCTTTAATAATATTGTTTAGATCTCATATAAATTCTTCCAATCAGTGTGATTTGAGATAGTAAATTATGAATGGTTGGAGTAATTGATTACAAGTTATATCAAGAAAACTAATAGTACAGCGGGTGCAAAGCTTTCTCAAAGGTTTAAGAATATGTGGTGCAGCCAAGAACTTTTTCTTTCTATGGTAGATGGTAAATCTCAATGGATTCTTTTCAACTTGATTGAAAGTTTCATCTTTTAGCTACCATAGGTATTATAGTTGATACTATTTAGGTGGCTGGCCCTTTATTCCAATAATAGCCAATGGCCATCCTAAGTCCATAGAATCATAAGAATGTTAATGTCATGATAGAGTAATTCTAACAATAGATGTTGTCATCATCCCAGTCATATCAGTTTTTCCACCAAAGCCGCAAGTGGCTAGGATGGTTGTAATATATTTTTTTCTATCGCAATGAAGATTTTCTTTGTTTGTTTCAAAAAATAAAATAAAATAAAATAAAATATAATCAATGCTTACTAACACAATAGTGACTTGAAGCACATTGTTAGGCACCCAAAATGCTCTTCCCAATAAAAGGAGTTGATGATAAGGTGGAATTCACTATGTGCTACTCTTTTGCTTAAATTGAAATACACCAAGCAAAAATATGTATGCACTTGCTATAGGTTTACAAGCATTATTCAAACACATTTTTCATTGAGGTGTTCCAAAAATGCAGACCAAGGTCCTACTATTGGAGGAAGCAGCTCAGTCAGAAGAATGCCATGATTCAAAGTTCCTATGTAAATAATTCAGAACTCCTCCCTTGCTCCATCCAACTTAGCATCAAAACAAAGAACAACATATACATGGAATTAATTGCTGCTTGACAGGTTAAGGATTTCTGGTTGTCAGGAGTAGCTTGAAGAATAACAAACATGCCCTTTAAGAAGACTGCAAGAAACACTGATTTCAGTAAAATGTGTAGTAGATATTAGGACCAGGTAGGACCAAAAACCTAGTTTGGTGATGAGAGAGACAATCCCTAAATATCTTTAGTGATGTGTAAACCCACATTGCATGAGATCACATTAAAACCTGTTAGAGATTCCATGAACCCATGAAAAAGAGACTTTCATCTGATACTGAGTAAGTTTGCAACTCATTTCCTTAACACAATTTGCCTAGCTTCACACATGAGCTAGTAAAGCACCTTGTTATTATAATAAGTTATGCCAACAGCCAAGGTGGTCCAAGTCTGCAGCTGAAGAGATAGCTGCCATCCATCAAGCAATACACTATCTGGTGGAGAAGCATATTAAACCTAGGCTAATCTCTTGCAATTCAAGGATTGCTCAAACTCCCAACATGATTTCCTGAATGACCCAGGTATACTATGTTAGGTATGCTGTATAAAATTTAATTGTAATGGTTCTGTCCATCCTAAGAAAATCAACAAACTGTCTAAGAATACACCTATGATTTCTTTTGGCTGAAAATATCCAATTTAGTGAATAAATTAGTTTTTATTAGCATCAAATTCACTTCCTAATTAAGAACAATTGCAATAATTGATACATTGTAAATCTAGATCATCTTCAGTCCATAACACTTGCAGATAAGTGATACAGAACGCTTACAAGGAAGTAGCTAGTTAATAAACGAACATCCTCTGAATATGATTGCTACTGCTCTGTGTCTCCAAGAGTGGCTAGACCTTTGTGATGCAAGAATCCAGGGAAAAAAAAAAAAAAAAAAAAAAAAAAACGTAAGAATTTATGTTGGACACTCATTGACAAAAGCACATGCAAATCCTGCACAAGTATGAAACATGAAACATTGGCGCAAACCCCTATCTTGCTGGCACTTCCTCTGTCCCTGTTAACTAGGTTTAACACGACAAGAAATGCACAAAAGTGGACGAGTCATGAACAATGATCACATTACAAAGACATCTTCGAGCAGTATAAAACAAGTGGTAGCACTAAGATTTGAAATAAAATGCTCCAAATAGCAACTAGCATGCCCTTCCTTTGAAATAAACCAGCTTCTCAATCAATCCCTTGAGGTGAAACTTAGAGTTCAACATGGCTTTACAGGTAAGATAACATCGAAGGTGATGCTGTGGAGTAAGAAATCCTTAGAATGCTCTCATTATGGCTCTGCAACCTCGATCCAATCCAGTATAATGCTAAAGCTTTACAGGGTGCTTATCACATTGTGATGATTAACATGCAGCCATCAACCCTCCTGTCACAAAGGTTTTCACTGGAGCTTGACAGCCGATTTATTCTCAACCTACCACTTTTGTCAAGTAGCTGAACAACTCAGTCAGATCACCTCTGCGGAATATTGTGTCCATAAATTTACAAAGCGTGCATTGCTGGATCGTTTTCAATAAACGACACACGTGAACCTCTTACATTTTACAAAACGCCTAAAAAGGTCGAAACTAGTAAACAGAAAAGTTTATTGAATATATGCTATTTCTTCGAACACTTGTGTGAACACATCTAAAGGAGCGAAAAATTATCTAACATCTGTACCTAGCCATTGCTGTCCCAATCTTAACAAAAGCAGACAACGTTTGACATTTGGGGAGCTCTTTGAGGGTGTGGAGGAAACAAAGGAGTTCATGGAATTCAAGCGTAGGGTGGGCGAGACACTGCCATTTTGCAAGACCGCAAGCTGCGCAATGCTTCAGATTTGTAACATTCTCTGGTGGAAACCTCCGGAAGATCATAGTATCGTGCGATGTGAAGCGGAGTGGCGATGGTCACAATGCACTGCCAAAATCAGAGCAGCGGTGAAATGCCTCGCAGACTGTCGTAACCTCGCACTTCCATTTGGATGGATGCATTTATTCTTTCATCCAATTTCTCATTCATTCACTTGTTTGTTTGTGCTTTACTCCCCTGCTTATTCCTTCTTCTTCTTTGTCCTCTCTTTCTTTTCTTTCTTTTCTTTTTCCTTTTTTTATTTATTGATTGGTTTAATTTTTTGTTTTTCTTTTTCCAAAAAATACATGTACATGATAATCGTATATGTAGTCGTATATATACCCGTGTAAATAACCATATATTCACAAAGTCGTTGAGTTAAACTTGATTTTCTACTCATTTTACTTAATTGTTCATTGGATTTAAAACCTATTACATGATACTGAAGTATAATCATTAGTGTGGACAGTTGTAAAATATTATTTGGATTTTGCAGTTATGATTTTGTTAACTTTTTTGACTGTTTTAACTCTTAATATTATCAAAACTCAATCCTGTAGTTGAATTTCGTTTTAGTAGTAACCAGGTTTCTGAAACAGAAAACACTAATATCTGTATGAATATTTGGGCAACCAAAGCACAATTACAATCTAAGTAATTGGTTTTGAAATTAGGAATCATAAGTAAATACTAATGATATGCAGTTTAGCTTCTTTTTCAACTAACACAGATCAAGAATTTTAAAATTCGGATACACTGATTGACAAATTTTGTTCAATTTAGTTATGAAACAAGATTTGAATGTATTTGATCATTAAAGAAATAAACATTATTCATCACATTATACCAATTATGTTTGAAGAAATTCTTAAATATGTGGTAAAATTGTAAATTGAGTGTGTTATATTGATTATTATTATTATTATTAAATTTTATTTTAAAAAAAACAATCATACACCATGCATTAAAAAAACCACAACAAGAATAATTAGTGTATCATATTAGCACAAACATCAACATTATATGACAAGAATCATGTCTTCATTTGTTTAATAAAAAGTTTTTACATTCAAGGTCCATCTATCAATATCTATTCTTATTTTACAAATCCATCCCAAAAATCTAAGTGCTTAGAGAGTGTTCATTTAAACATGGCCTTTTTGGATGATATTTTAACCATGATGCAAGCTCAAAGTATCCTGCAATATTTCACCAAATCACCGACCTCACAAGATGGGTGATTTTGAAATTGAGATATCTAAAGAAGGACAGGTCAAATATCAAAAACCGCATTGCTCATCTCAATTCTCTTCTCTCTTTGACTCTATAACACATGGGTAACAAAAGTTTGAATCAAGGAATAATATTAGGAGATAATTAAGTTTGAACAATGATATTTCAAATGATCTTGGAAATATCAGGTGATGAATTTCAGTTACTTGATTTTGCAAAAGTGCCATGTTTAAAACCCCCAATGCTACAACTGCAAAGTTCAACCCCACAACCAAAACGGAATTGGGCGACGGAATTAGGCGACGGAATTGGGCGACGCCGCTTTCCAGATCGGAATTAGGTGACCGTGCACATCGGACGGAACTGGATGACCGGGCAATTCACGGCGGAGGGGTTAGACCGAGCTAGTGGAGCAGAGAAAGGTCTTACCCTAACAACCACAACCACAACGACTGATTGCTCGCAGAGTCAGCGAGCGTCAGGAATTGCCCGCCGCGCCCGTCAATCTTGTATAGTCCGCCAATTGGAGAGCGTTTGTCTATCAGATTCCTCACCTACTCCATGTCCCCGCCACTCTCGTGCAATACGCAGGATGGCAGGCCGCGTAGGAGCCTGAAGATTGACTTGTAAGCTCTGTCCCAGTCTCACGGTCGGGTGCAGAAAGGGGCGTGTGACGGTGTCGCCGTGAAGAAGTCGTGAGTGCGTTGCGCGAACAATTTGTGTTGTTCGTTGAGCTATTCTCATCATTGGTGTGTATTTTGGGCGCTTTGATGCTTCATATGAATCTCCTGTCGTCTGCACCTCGGTTTTCTGTTTTCTTTTTTTCTTCTCTCTCTCTCTGGATACGTGTGGGACGCTTTGCTGAGTCTGCTGAACTAAGTTCATTGCGCTGCACAGTTGAAGAAGTCAGTTCCCTTGCGAGGGGTGCTTGAAGTTTCGAGCAGCTGTTGTGTCTTAGTGGGATTCTGGTAGTGTGTGTGTGGAGTGTTTAGGTTGGAGTATGGTATTTCAGAGTGGGGGAGGGAGGCGGTGTGGTAGAGGCTGCAGGTTTTCTTGGGTGAAGCTGTGTAGGCGAGAGGGTGAGAGATAGTGCCAGTGCATGATGCAAGGGCTGGTGTTAGAATGGGAGAGTGTGTCAGTAGGGGTGATCCGCAGCCCAATAGACGTATCAGCAATGTGGGGTAAGGGTGGTCGGATGCTGGAAGCTCAGAGTCCAGGTGGGGGGATATGTGGAAATGATGGGCGGATCAAAAGTAGCAAAGTACTTCAGTGGAAGCGTAGAGGGAGAAAGGGACTCTGTGGTGGTCATTGTAACGCTGGAGCTCTGGTTAGGGTTAATTCCTATGAGCAATGGCCTGGAAGGTGCGTTGCTGCATGGAGCTCTGGATCTGCGCGACACGACGAAGTGAAACAGGAGACAATGGCAGAAGAACGAGATTGCCGTAACGGGGATGCCTCAAAAGCACCATTAGCATGCACGGAAGACGGCTCCAATGGCTCCATTTCTGGTAGAGTGATGCTCGGTTTTCATACTACTTGTTCTTTCTAGCATTTTGATAGGGGAATTACCATTATCCTCACTCTTGTTTGATGACGAGTATTCCTTTACCTCCCCGCCTCTTCCCTTATTCATGGAATTAATTCATAGAATCAATTTATGGGCGCTAGGTTTGATTCTACCGCCATTGATGACGATTGGAAAGTCCACCAACATTTTGTGGCAAGGATGCATGGTTAAGAGGGAGGATCGGCAGCGTATGTTAAACCAGAAGGGCTGTGTAATCTGGATCACAGGCCTCAGCGGGTCTGGGAAATCAACCCTAGCGTGCACCTTGGACCACGCACTATTGCAGAGAGGGAAATTGAGCTACGTTCTAGACGGAGATAATGTTCGTCATGGCTTGAACAACAATCTGGGCTTTAGTGCAGAAGACCGCGCTGAGAACATTCGCAGGGTAGGCGAAGTTGCCAAGTTATTTGCCGACGCGGGGGTCATATGCATTGCGAGCTTCATCTCGCCCTACAAGAGGGACAGAGACGCATGCAGAAAGCTCATGGCTCCTGGAGACTTTATTGAAGTGTACATGGACGTGGCTTTGGACGTTTGTGAACAGAGAGATTCTAAAGGTTTGTACAAACTTGCGCGTGCTGGTAAAATCAAGGGCTTCACCGGTGTGGATGATCCCTATGAGAGCCCCCAGGAACCTGAAATTGTGATGAAGGCAGTTAACGGAGTGTATGCTACACCGCAAGAGATGACAGTCCAAATGTTAGCTTACTTGGAGGACAATGGGTTTCTAACAGGTACTTGACGACGCCGCATCGGCGACACCAGTGTGGGAAACCCTACAACCCTATCTTGATTCTTGCTGATTCCATTGGCTTGATTGAATTCACTCCTCGGCATCGTACGGAGTTTTTTTTGTTGGCTAGAGCGATCAGTGCATCTTGAAGAAACATGTCGACCTCTGCATGAATTGATTCGCATTGTAATGGCTTCAGTCGGGAACAGGTTGAGGTGCTCTCATTTTCCAATCTGCTGGTGAAGATTCAAATCTTCTGTGAGTTGCACTTCGAATTTCCCTGTGTGCACCATTTTACTCTGTTTGGAGGGTCATTTTTATCTTCAGGCATGAATCATGAAGAAATTGCATGTTGACTTGTTATGGAAGGATTCAATTTACGCACAAGATTTTCATTTGAAGTCAGGAATAGGGCACACGTATACATATCAGCTACGAGGTTATAGAGAGGTCTAAAGATTCTTCCAGACAAGGACTGCGATGTCCCTGGCTGTGATTTATTGTATAAAATTATTGTATATTATTCAATTGCTATCATTTTTGGAAAGCTATTTTGGTTGACAATGCCTAGTCGTCCCATTTGCTTGCTTCGAAGCAAGGTTTAGTTCCTGAATTCAATCTGACGTTATGTTACGGACTCATATTACTGAAGGACGTTCCTTCGCTGTGGACGAGAAATCAAATGCATTGTGCCCTCATTAGCAGGTTGTATACTGAGGGTTAGAGAGATGTTTAGAATCTTTGGTTATCTACTTGTTTTTAGATTGGGACAACATGTAGGATTATATGGAATCCATCTGTTCATGGTAAAGCTCTCATGTACCAACTTAACTTATGTTTGATTTACTGACATCTTAAGGTTTACAGGCACTAGAAAAATATGTAAGCAGCAACGAAGGATTGGTACGTTGAACAGCTTCTTTTAATCATTGTTGTCCAGCTGACAATTTAAGATATATTAGGACCAAAGGTGGAGAAAGGAATGCTCACGATCGAGGACTATACGGAATTGGCCGTGGGGCGCACATACTTATCATCTAGGATCTACTACACTGATATTGCTAGCGACTTGTAATGAGCTAGGTATTTTAGAAGGGTAAAATGAATGAGAGTGGCCAAATGATAATAAGTCTGGTCTACTGGGAGACGACGGGCTAGAGTAAAACATGTGTACACTTGGGTTTCATGACGTTGCTCGTCGTCACCTCAGATTCGCCAGTGAACATGGAAACAACGCGCGACATGGATGGCTTCATGGATGCCACGGATTGTGTGCACAGCAAAGCAATTTCGATGACTCTTATCACTTCCTCCTCCGGAAGTGGCTGCGTCTCCATCAATGAGGGGTCTAGGACAGCCAAAATGTTCCCTTCTTCGTGCAACGTCCACGTCTGCATCCGAGAGGAAGTACAAACAATTATACAGGATTACGGTAAGTTGCAGATTCTCTCCAGTTATTTCTAAGCATTCTTTCACAAACAATTGGGAAGTAGGAAAGCTATGCAGGTCACCGTGTTGAGTGTTTAACTTCATCCAGTGACCATACAAATAGAAATTCCTGAATGCAGCGAGGAACCTCATCTGCGCTTACGGGGATTGTGGGAAGCATGTGTGAAGCAATGCCGCAACGTTCCATAACGGCAGGTAACGGGACTCCATTCACGTAGTGTGGTCAAACCTACCCAGTCCAGAAGGTAAGCTTCCTCTGGGCGCAAACGAGATTTAAAATTACTCCGGCCGCTTACGACCTCCAACGCCACGATCCCGAAGCTAAAAACATCAGCCTTTTCCGTCAACTGCCCTCGCATTGCATACTCAGGTGCTAGATAACCGCTGCAGACCACCACCTTTAAGTCAGTTACCTAAAATGGATAGGTGGGTTAGACAGTCTCAGTAATCAACTTTCTTATCATAACACATGCACCTTTAGTGTAAAACAATCTATGCTTGCAGTCGCTCTTCTATACTCCAGAGAAAACTGCCGTTGATTTGTGCTTGTATTCCACAAAACTAGGTAGGTTCGGTAGTTTCTTACACAGTTCCAGCAACGCATGTGCTGACATGGCTCTGGTCTTCACGGAACCAGCGGGCTAATCCAAAGTCAGCAATCTTCGGGTTGAGGTCCTTGTCCAGAAGGATGTTGCTGCTTTTGATGTCACGGTGGACAATGCGGGTTTGGCAGCCCTCATGCAAGTAAGCCAAGCCACGTGCAGTGCCCAACAGGATCTTCACCCTTGTCGACCAATTCAAATGTAGTCGTTTCTCAGGGTCTACATTCAACATGATAATTTGTTGATACAAATGTAGCTCAGAAGATTGTTATGAAAGAGGTTAAGGTTTCCTCCCTTGATGTGAACAGGGACCTTCAAATTGCATCAAGCAGGGGAGGAAGTTACCGAATAAGGCTTGGTGTAAGCTCTTGTTCTCCAGATATTCGTACACAAGCAGCCGTTCGTGATCCTTGAGACAACAGCCACGAAGCTTGACGAGGTTCCGATGCTGCACTCTATTGATGAGCGTGACCTCGTTCAGAAACTCCTTGTTACCTTGCCTCGATTTTGTGGACAGCTGCTTCACGGCTACCTCTGATCCGTCTTGCAAGACGCCCTGGACAACCATGTGCATCTCATTTTCTCAAGTGGTTCACTAGTAGAGAAAACATCGTGTTTGGCTACGGTGTTGAGATACAAGGTTTTCATTTTTGCATCAGAAGGTTACCTTGTAGACCACGCCAAATCCGCCTTCGCCAAGCTTGCTGTTGATATGGAAGTTCTTAGTGGCCCCCTTAAGTTCTTTGTAAGCAAATAGCGTTGGTCGTCTTTCGATTCGCATAATCTCTGTAGCAGTCAGACTATCCAATGAGATGATGGCGAACCGATCAAGTGCTACTATTTAGCTATCTTCAACAGAAGCACCGATCATGTCCCCTCGAGGACTGCAGTTGATGCTACAGACTATGTTCTAAGTGCAACAAAATAGTTAGTATGTTAACGTTAACCAAGACATGAACGAATGCATAAAAATGATGCATTATGCAAGACATGGATTGGTCAAGGCTGAAAATGTGATATACCATCACGATCTGCAATCAGCGGTAGTGAGCGGGATCGTGAACTTCTCCTCCACGTAAGCAACGACAGTGCTGAAACAACAGAGACGATCGAGCAAGCCAAGATGACAGCCACAATTGGCATGGTGAACCCTGTCTTTTTTTCTGTTGAACCTGCACATTGCTTTCCTCACTTACAATCATCAAAACTCTTGAAGTGCATGCTACAATACACTCTTCAGAGATGAAAGCTATTAGCCACCAATTATGTCTTTCAGAAGTTTAGAGGTTCATTGCCCACAGCCAAAAATCATTCTCTGTTTCTTTATCCAATCTTGGTGGAGAGCACTTCAAAACCCACTGATTATTAAAAGCTTATCGTGTTGGATCACAAAGAAAAAGAAGAGTAAGTGCTAAACCTGTTAGCATTCCTAGCAGAGTTGGGCACTGGTCGCAGAGTTCAGATGTCAGATTACACAAGAGAGAAAACTTGATGCCTGTCTCAGCAGTGTTCTTGGTGAGGTGCCCTGGAGGGTAGAATGTGATCTTGCACAGGCACGCCGGGTAAGCCTTCCATGTCTTGGCAGCTGCTGCACAGCAACTATTTGTAGGCTTTAAAACTTGCTCCAGCAGGAATGTTAAGCACTGAACCATCCCACTCAGTGCTGGCCGGCAATCACCCGTCTCCACCAAGGGTTTGCGGAGCCCGTGTAGATAATTGCATGTCGAATTGGCAGCCGTGCCGTGCGTGCCATGCATTTGCTCGAGATTGACAACGGTACTGAAAAGAAAAACAAACTGCAGGAACTTTATGGAAACTTTAGAAACCATGGCTAGTAGGTTTCTAATTCTAGCAAAGGTAAATGAACCGGTCGCTAAGTTGTATTCCTGAGGTAAGAAATTTGTCGCACCAGTGATTAACGCTGTAAGTGAAATCAACTGGCTGCCTATTGAAAGCTACAGTGATCTTGAGTCGCTTGTTGACATCTATCACTACTTCCTACTTCGTGAAACAGACTTGGCACAAGTTGCTCTTGTTTCTGTAGTAAACAAGCTGTCATTTCGCTAAAGGGAACATCGGCAAGCTGCTGATGATTATGGCTTTCTCCTTATTATTACTTTTTTCCCCAACAACTGAAGCAACAAATGTCTCAGCAACAATTTTTTTGTCTTGCACTACAGAAGGATTTCCACTTGACTACAAAAACAAGTTCTCCTCTGTTTGAACTGGAGACAGTCTCTTGCCTCACTCGATTACAAACCACACCTGCATAGATGCCTTTTCCACAACAATGCATCAGAGGGCCCGAGGCTAGTATGTTAAGCCAGGAAGAAGACACCACATGGCAAGATAAGTTGCCGATGAGCCCCACGAAAGAATAGACGACATAATTTCGTTAATAGAAAGGTCACTGAGAAGCGAGAAGATGCAGCAGGCCATAAGCCGCACGACGTCACAATCGAACTGCATGATAGACAAAAGCAGCCGCACGTACATCGATGAAGTGGTACAAGAACAGTCACGGAATAGACAATAACTTGATGAGAGTTGTAAGGATGGGTCTATTCGCATTGTAATGACAATTAGTTCAGGGTGATAATGACCTGGGAAGTTTTGAGGTATCGTCCTGTTAGGATTAGACCCATCTTAAGAACTCACGATTGTTGCTTCAATTCAGAGTTCTATTCTTTTACTGTTCCATCGATGAACTTGTACCCATTTGCGTCCACTATGCAGTTAAATTGCCAATTTGGATCGCCGAGAAACGTTTCGTCAGCGTTTCTAATGCTCAATGTCTTGACATAGCTCTACATGACTTATCTATCGAAAGTGTTATGCAAAATTTGAAAGTCGAAGTGGTGCACATTGATGCAAGTAACTACAACTGGATCCAGAATAATCAGAAGAAAGAATCAACTGCTATGGTAAGGAAACCTACGGACAATAAGTGGACTATCTCATTCTTCGCAAAGAACCTATTTGTATGCACAACGAAACACTGATTACGATTATGAAACAATTCATCGCTTTTCTTAACAATATCATGACCCCCATGCAGTGATTCTCACCTTTCTGCGCAGATTACTTACGATCGCAACAGGACGCATTCACCGAAGGCTTGTGAGCTTGTGATCTTCAAATTAGACTCGTCAAAATGTCTGTTTGATTCCGATCCAAATATGATGACTGAACCACGAATAGGCATGTGTGGGTGATGGTGACCAATTTGAAGACACAGTACACATGTAAGCTCCTTCATAAGTGAAAAATGAGTGGTGCGTTGTGAGTTGCTTGTCTTGTCAGTGTCATTTTCAACGTACTACAGGACACATCCTACTCTTTCTGTTACAATTTAGCACGTCCATACCAAGGTTTTTCACATTTCACCCTCAATTCAATATGGAGCTATCTACACAAATATTCACAAATGAGAGATATTGACATCAACTTATCCACTCTTCATTGCATTGACAAAGTGTATTCTCTGTGAAAAAGCCCATGTATAGAGTAATATTGTAGCTACATTCGCGTTTGATGAAAGCTCTCATGTAACCACAAAAGTTCCAGGTAGATTTCAGCAAGATTTAGCCAACAGTAACTGCTGCTTCCATTGGTGACAATTGAAAATAAATAAATAAATAAATAATAGAAAACGGAATAAGAGTTGTGACAGGCTAAGTTTTCCAACTAGTTGCCCGATTCGTGATCTCCGCTGTTATACACGGAATCTGTCATTTCGGAGAACTAGCTTTTATTCTTGTTTTGAAGACGCAAGCTCGGTTTAACACATGGTAGTGCAATAAACCAGCGGCAGGGCATGTGCTCCTGAGTATTTTCAGATGCATTTCCTTGATAAAAAACGTGATCTAGTCTGATAGGTTATGTGCAATTACAGAACTCGAGTGAGCTCACCTAATAAGATTAGTAGACTACGGTATCGTGTGAACTGAGGTCGCAAGCAAATAGACTATTATTCTACTGATTAAGTTTGTTCTAGAGCACTTTTTCGCGAATTGGAGGCATTCTGTCTTCTTCAGAGTTGACGCATTGAGTGCGTCGTACTTTCAATGCCGGATTCGTCTTTCTGAGCACGAGGATATTATTGTTTAATCCCAGATCGCAATCATTCGTAACTTGTACGTTGGTGTATCTGTATGAATAGTTCATTTGATTTAGGGTTTTCCCGCATTTGGAAGTTTTAAAGGTTCGGAGAAGCGTTTCTAAGTTGCAGCTGGGTTTTAGAGTTGTGCTGGAGCGATTGATGAACAGGATGTGTGTTCGGGGTCTTCGAAGGCTTTTGTTGCACACTATTCTGCTCAATCTTTTTGTGTCGGCATTGACCAAGAATGAGTTCGATTCTAACCCTGCAAACGGGGTTGAAGAAACGAGAGTGGTGAAAGTGGATGGAGGACCTCCGGGAGTGGTGTGGGTGGTGCAAGTGTCGGATATTCATATCAGCAGATTGGTGCCGGAGCGAGGACGAGCGTTAAGGAGAGCCCTTGGGCATGCTCTGCAACTTATCAAACCCGCCATTGTTTTGATCTCAGGAGACCTCACAGGTGTGCTATTTTCTTTTCCGCCAATTTCATTACTATGTGGTCAATGTATGCTTTCCATTCATAACCGAGATCATGACAAGTCTTAGACATTCAGATAAAGGTAGTTCTGCTTACATCGTCCCCCGAAATTCACCTTTCTGTTGTCGGTGCAGATGCAAAGATAGAGAAATCAGCAAGCGGGCAAGATGAGGGAGAGTGGGTTGAGTATCGAGATTCTATGGCGAAAGTAGCAGATGATAGTGGTATCCCACTGGAGAGATTTTACGATCTGCGTGGAAACCATGACAAATATGGAGTGCCGCCTTCTAGCACGCTCAATTACTTCTCAAAATATAGTATTAGCGCAGCGTTCAATCGCAACAGGCTTGTACAGAGCGCTACTGTTGAGGTACACCATCATCTGAATTCCTTTCTAGTGAAACGTAATCTGTCCCTAACGTATTCTTGACGTTCTACGTTCTCCAGCTATGGATAGTTTTTGTGTCCTCTTTGCTCATATTCCATGATGATGAAAAGGCATTTCTATTTTTGGTTGACCAGGGAGGAGATAGTCAGAAACATTTGTTTGTTGGCTTTGATGATTCCATGACTGTTGGGCTGCGTGGCCCCTCAAACGCATTCGGTCACCCCACAGATGAGCTTCTACAGCAGCTGGATCTGGAGCTTCGGCGCGGGGGGAATGCAACCACTAAGATCGTCTATGGACATTATACGATGTCCTTTACAACATCTACTGAAACGGGGAAGCGTCCCGAAGAAGTGATGGCAAACAATAACGTGGTAGCGTATCTTTGTGGGCATCTGCACACAAAATTTGGCCGCCGCCTCTATAAACGCCATAAGTATGTGATTCATTCCTTTCTGCATTAACTGTAAATACTTTGGACATCTTTGGATGCGCCTCTTTGCCTGTTGCAGAAAGATCTGAAACATCGCATTTATCTTGATTTAATTTTTTAACTTAATTCTATTTTCCAGGAGAGTCTGGGCCCTGGGTATCACAGGCAGTTTGTATCCATCAACTACATTATTCATGCGTTAGTGGGATTTTCTTTTCTTTCCGATTCTGTGTAATTAGGTCTTTAAATCTAATTGGTTTGGACTGTCTTGTTACAGTATTGGTGACAAGGGATTTTGGGAGTGGGAAGTAGGCGATTGGCGTACGAGCCGGGTTTTGCGCGTGTTGGCCATTGACAATGGCCACACTTCTTTTGTGGATGTTGAGTTGTTGCCACCGACGGACAAATCTCAAGCGGCCTTCAGTATGCCTACGTTCATTCTTCAAACTTACCCTCTCGATTCTCGCTTCATGCTTCAGAGTGGTGAGAATACCAAGGTGGTGTCGGATTCGATCAGAGCTCTTGTATTTGCCGAAACCATACCAGTCACTGTGACAGTTAGAATTTATGACTTCACCGTGAATCCGCCTAAGCTGGTAAACGAAAGCTCCATGGAGCTCCACAAAGGCGATGAACCTTCAACTGGAGCATATTACTATACTGCTCCTTGGGAGTCCGCAAGATATCATCATACTGGCGCTGGATTCAAATATGCCATGCAAATTGATGTGGAGGATATTAGAGGCAACATCTGCCACAGTGAAATGCGCTTCTTTTCTGTTGAAGGTGAAGTTGGTGAGTTTCATTTGACAGCATCCGCGTTTTTGGTTTTCGGATTCCGCTGGGAGCAAGTCTTCCCTATATACCTGTGGGGCATGATCTCCTTCTTAGTAGCCATTTTATTGATTCCCAAACTATTCCTTTATCACTTACAAAGACGTGGCCAGTATGAGAAATGGCTCATTTCATTATTCGATCCGGCCTCCTCTCCAAGAGAGGCCCTTGCGAAGATCATCAAGGTGCCATTCTGGGTCATGTTAGAAGGCGCCAGGAACTCTTCTATTTGGGTTGGGATGTTCACCTACGTGGTATTTTTAATACTCTTTCCATGGTTTTGGGGTCGGATACTTCCTGATGGTTACCCGCTTGGCTATATGTCTGTTCGCGGGTGGACACTGAAGCCTTCCAAAGCTGATTCTGAGCAAACTCTTTCCGGCTTGGGAGTGCCTGACATCATGGGAATCGTGTTACCGTATTTATATGGGGTAGTGTTGCCGCTACTGCTGTTGCTGTCGGCACTTTCAGCTGAGAAGGCGGCGTGCGAGTTTCACATAACCAGTCTTGGAAAGAGGCAGAAGAAGACTGAGCGTGAACCTGAGGGTATCGCTAGTAAGACAAGTTTTGATCCCTCTCTTTTTAAAGGTGGGGTAGCAGGGCTTACCAAGGGAGGGGTTCAAGCACATGAGCAATTGGAAGCTCCTGTTTCCTCTGAAATGAGGGTAAACAAGCATGATAATTGTCATCTCTGTGAGAGGCTTGTGCGCAAAGGGCTCGTTTTAGGCTGCTTGGGAGTTGCATATAATCACTGGCGGGTTTGTAGTCTTTACCTTACTTTTCACATGTTCTGTTTTTTTAAAATGCCCAGAATCGCCCTTGGTAGGCTCGAGTGTGTCGATCTTGTCATGATTGTGTTGTTTCTCAAGCTGTACAGATCATTTGGATTTATCTTATTTTGTGTCTGAGCCTTAAGTTTGTTGTGCAGTTATGCTCAACGGTGCTGGGAGCGTATGGACCAGTGGTATTGGCTGGTCCAGCATATGCTTTGGGTGTCCCTGCTCTTTTAATGCTTACTTTTTTCCAGACCTCGAGACTCATGTCCAAATCCCCTTGGCACGAACTCTGAGATTAACGCTAAAATGAGTCAGAAATTTCTCCAGTAGTTGTGGAAATCATACTAAGGATGGGACGATTGTATTATTTCTGCGACTGCTCTGTTCGAAAGGTGGGATGTTTAGATTCTGTAAACAAAGGGAATTACTTATTTCTTTGGTGACCACCTCCCTTAAATCCCTCACATTTGTAATATATTCGAGTTCTGTAGCTCTCTCCACGATATTTTGTTGGACCCAATTCGACTGCGGTTCGTGGAGATCTTGAAACAAAAAGCTGCTGCTCATTCTGTCTTCCTAAGGTGTACTTGAGAATCTATCCTTTCAAAGCCGGATCTGAGGGCAAAACAGACGATGCAAAGAGGCATAACTATCACAGGTTGAAACTAGGATGTAGAGTTGAACCCTTCAATTGCAACATTTTACAAGATATTTGAAGAGTATGTGAGTGTTCATAAACAAATTTAGTAGCGTATCCTGACTCATGTCTTAATTATCCCAACTCAAAACCTACCTACATGTCTAAACGGTACTAAGGTTAAACAGGGTCTAACTATTTTTCCATACCTACACTATTGCTATGGACTTCCAATTATAAATTGAAGCTGTGAACCCACATGGATAAAATGCAAAGTGAGGGGCAGCAAGGAGAAGAAAGTTGAAAGGATGGTTTTTAAAGGATTGTAGTAAAGTTGAAAATGTAACACATTTTTATCACTTAATGACTAGAAAGAAGGAAATAATAGAAACAAGTGCCAAAATTTCAAGAAATTATTATTATAGGATGTAGATTGAGTCCCTTTTTCTAAATTTGATTCATTATTATACACAAAAAATATAATGGATGCAACAAGAAATTAATGATAACTTTAGTGTTTGGTGCAAAAGAATTGGTGATTAATATTATATATTTGTAACAGCTAATGACTAATACAATTTTTTAATATTTTTCTATTATATTTAATAACTTTTATTATTGATATAGACATTTTGATATAAAAGTTAAAAGACAACTAAAACCTTTTCAAAGAACTAGATAGGAGGTAAGTTGATGTAAACCATAAATCAAATATGGTTTAGAATTATATTAAGAAGATCTTGCTGCCCCTCACTTTGCACTTTTCATTAAAAAGAAATTGAAATTTAAATCTTAAGAGCTGAAAGTAAATTTGAGGTGGTGTAAAGTGTAAAATCAAACTAACATATTATCAAACTAATCAAAACAGATCTTCTACTAGTAGCAAGTTCTACCAGAAATGTTTTTAACAAATAGAAAGATAATAATAGTTGGTAAGCATTTTTTTAAAAGAAGATGTAACTTTCTTGTTGAGACCTTAGAAAATATTAAACTTGTTTTGTAAAATATCACTATGCAATTAGAACTACTTAAATTTTCTTGAAATTTTCTAACATATATATTTGAATAAATTGGTATTGCTAATCAATTATAAAGGTTATCTACAATATTTATCACTTCAAAATAAATAAATAAATAAATAAATAAATAAATAAGTAGTGTTGCAAAAAAATATTATTTGAATTATAGTCTAATTTTTAACTATGTGATTAAATTTCAATTCAATAATCCATTATAAAATAAAAAAAACAAAAAATAAAACTATAAATTATAATTTTTCAGCTAGTTTAGCTTGGTCTTTTTTTACTAATATTTATTTTGAGTCAGTATCTTCATGAAGACTTCTTAAAAAATTAAAAGAATTCTAAAGCTAAAAGGTGCTTTTAAAATTTAAACACAAAAAAAATTAAAATTAAGCTAAAAATATACATTTTATTATAATTTAAATATCTTATACTACTTAAATTTTCAATATAAAATAATTACTTAACGATTTCTTATTAAATTATTGTTTAGATCATTGTACATAAAGTAACATAAATAGTAGTTTACTTTACATTCTGTAAAACTCAATAGAACGAAATCAAGAAGGAATCTTAGTAGACTTTTTGAGGTGGAGAAAAAGTTTCATTGATACATACACAAGATAAATAGAAATAATTATCTCTTCTTTTTTCTTTATATTTAAATGCAAAGTGACTCCATTTCATATTTTTAGATCTTTCGGATAAGAAACACTTCGAGAGTGTACAATGAAATCACAGTATGAGTTTTTTTTAATTACACTACATTATATTATTTTGGAATATATATATATATATATATATATATCTATATATACTTGGTTGATCGCTGTCGACTACATTCGTAGCCCTTTCCGAAGGTTCACATTCCAGTACATTCGTAGCGTTTCAAAATCATTCCTTTTTCTACTTCCTCAAGGGATACAATTGTGGCAAAGAAAGGATCACTAAGGGTGACATTCTTATTGACCCGTGTAAATTGAAGATTTTTAGTGCATTGCAACTCTTCATTTAGAATTAATTTGGTGGTGACCGAATTCTAAACTTCAACAGTGCATGAAAAGTGAGAACCTATCTAACAGTCAACACACAAATAGGTACAAGCAGATAGTTTCTAAAGCCTTTCGTACAAAAAGGATGAATTGAACGAAAATGTGTGGCTTTCAAGTTACAATCGCTGCTCTCCAATAAGGTTAATGAAAGAGGAATCACCAATGCAACCATATAAAAAAATTAATCCTTCGGAACCCATATGGACAAAACACTAACCGGAAAAGGCAAATGGATGATGATAACCCAACCTTCAAGAGCCGAAGTCAGAAACCTAGGATGTGATTACAGCATGTCCAGAATAGCAAGAAAGGGAGTCAGCATTGGCCTTCAAATAAGGACGGCACTGTGATCAGGCTATAAAATTTTGATCTAATCAAATCGCAAGAAATGTTTCGGTCTTCGTGGACAGGTCGACATTATGACTCAAATAACATATTCATTTTTATCTCTTTACGGTGTACACAGAATACCCAAGCAGTCACTATACTAACTATCATCAAGAGGCATGTAGCTCAAAAAGTTATGGTACCACCAGTATGTATCATCGCCCTCCTGGCAAAATGAATTGGTTCTAGTCTACTTGTACATCTCCAGTTCAACACCCGCTTTCCATCATGGAGAATGTAAATTTTCATCTGGGGACAGATATACCTGGCACTTAATTATTCGCTCAAGAACAATAAATCCTGGATTCACTACGAATCCTACTTGTCGAGAGAATGATGAAAAATCATCAGTTGGAAATGAAGTTAATGTCTCTGCTGGCTCCATAAATTTGACATCGAAGTCCGCCGTGGCTTTCACAGTAAACAGCGACGCAACAGGGTCAAATGCAAGCGCAAGCTTGTGAGCTCGCCACACTTGCTTCATGGCCTCAAGGAAATCCTTCACTAGATCGTCTGGCCACTCCTCTAACCATTTCAATTCGTTCTGTAGAGTGTCAAATTTCCGATTACAGAAGATGTGAAAATTTGGACAGTATACTTTTCCTTCGGGATTGATAGCATCCACAGGACTTAAAAGGGACAGCCTTTGATATTCTTCCCAGGAAGCATTCCGCCTTGCTCGTGCATCATGCCCCCTCTCTGAATTACAAACCACCATCAAGACACAGTAAGAATACACAACCAAGTTTTGATACTACCCAGATCTAACTAATCAAATAAATATTATAACAATTCTTCGACATTGGACGCGAGTACCAATCGAATCGACCTCGTTCACTGCAGTCGTACCAGGTGAGATCGAGAGAGAGAAAACGCTATCTACATCAACTAATTGAGTAAAAAGAACGCGGTTGCTCCTGTGCGACGTAAGGTTTAATTCGTTAATGCAGCGAGTCAAAATTGTACTTTCCGGCTTACGCAATAGGGCAAGGACGTCTAAATCACGACGGCAAAGCTCAGCTTTGAAGTAGTACCTTCTGACTTGGTCACACTCGCCTTGCCGAACTCCTTGAACACGATCCGGCTCAGCCAAGCTTCGATGCCAAATTTAAAATGCCAAGATTTGGCAAAATTTGCGGTAGGAAGTCGCCGGGCAATCACGTCACGCAATGAATCGCTTTTAAGCTCGAACTTAAAATCATCTTTCGGAAAGCGATCTTCTTCGTATTTAATAAGAGCTTCAACGAAATTACGAATGTAGACCCTCTCCACCTGGACTATTTCTTCAAAGAGTGCTGCGGTAGGACAATACCAAGAGGTTCCGTGCAGCGCCTGAGCAATCTTGCCGTTCTCCTTAATTGTACCTGTATCCCAATTCACTCTGGATCTAGGAACTGACTTCGCTCTTCTGTTAGGCTGATACTGGCCATGTTCACTATTATAAGAAGCATAATCTATGGCTCCATGTCTCTTGCTCTGTGAAAGTAGAGGAGCCGCATCAGCTCTGCTATCAATACTCTCAGAGAGTGACATCCGCCGCGAGGTTGAACCTGAAACATCATCGTTATTAGGGCCCATTCGTTTGAGCTCTAGGCAGATTTCTTGTAAGCCCAGGTACATTTGCTTCAACTGCTTCATTTCAAGTTCATGCTGCTCCCGAAATAGTGTCCATTCGTCCTCCCAGGCTGGATATGAAACAGTCTGATTATTGTTTTGCCTGAGAGCACAGAGGAAACAATTTCGTTAATTTTCTGGGGTAAACTGAAAAAAGAAAAGAAAAGAAAAGTGTAGGCCTTTAAAACAGCATTTCGCAGCAGTAGTAGATTCAACATCGTAGCCACCTTCTATCCTCCCATGCCCCGCAACTTCACGACCTCTGAGACGAACATTCTGGACAAGCGACATAGGAATGACAGATAAAGCAAACCTGAAAAGTTTGCGAGTCAGTAGTGCTCCCAAACTCCTGGGTTCCTTGGCAATATGAGGCTTAGTACGAGAAGCTTTTTGAATATCTTTACTGGGCACTGCAGAAAGTCCATCACTGCCACATGGCCATTTGCCGCAGTTGTTGTCCACCTTGACAACTTCATTGGTTCTTGCTGGTCAAGATATCAACTCAAAGTGTCAGGATTCGTCAAACACTCTCCACATGTTCGGCTTTACATCACCATATTTTGTTTTATCTTCAGTATAAAATTAGCGAGGAAAAACATCAACATCGACTGACAAGAAAAATTATGCAGGGTACTTGTGTAATCTCGAAAGATCATACAGAGAAGCCGCGCAATAAACAATACGTGAATTCTTGATAATCTATTTAAGGGAAGAAAAAGGAGAAAGACAAAAATTGAAATGTAATGCCATGATAGCTGATTCATGTTTCATGACTGGTATAGCACTGCTCCGACTTGTATAAAAATTATACATGAATAATCCAACTTTATTCTAAGGGTGTAACTTAAAATCCAATCGTGTTCGTTAGTGCTTACAGGATTTTGGTATCTCGTCATTAGAGGTCCTTCTTGAAAGTTCCGCAGTGTTCGCTGCAGCAGTTGTGGCAACACTATTACTTTCTAAAGTCCGATCACGTACTGTCGATGCTGTTCGTCGGCCCAGACGTTTGGTGAAGGAGTCCTCGTACACAGGCGACTCTTTCCGCCGATGTTGCTGGACTTTGAAGGTCCTATCTTGGCAATGTCTCTTCTCCTCAGGAATTCTATACGTCCTTGAGGGCTGTATTTCATCTTCTTCATCATCCTCCCACTGCATGGCTCGCTGCTTATTTTGATCTTAGAAGCACATCGCCTATGAAATGAACTTCTGGAACAAAACAAGTACGAGCTCAGAAGTAACGACTTGGAGGCGCTTAGTATGCAATCTACTCAGAATGAGCCAATTAAAGACAAGGTGCAAGATTTCATGCACACATCCACCAGTTCACTGCTTTTCACCTCAGACAAGGGGAAGATTAACCTCCTGGTGACATCTAGGCTTTGACACGTGACCACTGTAATCTCCAACATATATCCCACTTGGTAGAAAATGTGGAAGCTGGTTCTAAGTACAGCCGAAGAAGCAAAAGGACGCCACTATGATCCAAATCACATAGCGAGTTCTTTGAACATTCGATTCCAAATACTTCAAACCAATAAAAAATTAGGTCTTTACTTCACCCCAACAAAATTGATCCCGCAGTTAGCAATCGGATTTGACAACTCAACAACAAGTTTCTTAAAATTTAATGAAAATAAGGACTATCTTATGTAGAGAATGCAAAACTTTCTAAGTGGGAGGGGACACCAACCATGCAAGCAGAGCTGTCTGAACTCCGATTGCACTGTTGCTCTAAGTTCAAGACGTTTCGGTCGGAGAACTGTAGGATATACTCAGATAATCTTCAGACGGCATAGTCGATCCAACTCGTCCATCTAATCACTTGGCGATACAACTACCGCGAGTGCTACCAGGACACTTCCCATTGAACAACCTAGTACACTTACGAACAACAGTAGCCTTTTCGGATCTTGAATTATCTTCAATAATGCAGCTCTTCCACCACATCATCTTTCCCTCCACTACATTCAAGGAAAAATGATTCTCACATTGCACTCAACCCTTCAATAACAGGTCAGATTTTCATAATGCTGTCACTCCTAGCCTTTGACACAACGAAACCTTCTGGCGTCACTAAGCACTTCTGGAACAAATCGCACGTTTGGAGTGCAGAAATAAATACCACGACAATTTAAGACCGCCTTCACAACTCACTTCTTGCACTGCCTTACAAAGATGTACACATAGCTCAGCAATGTGCAATAAAAAAAAGTACCAAGGAACCAGTTTCTAGACTGTCACTTTCTCTTACAGCGGAACCAAGTATGATATTTTAAAGCTGCCACTCCTTCAACTAGTACTTCACAGTAATTAGTGCACTGCAGCGAGCAGGTCTAATACCTCACGCATTACAGCAGTCATACTCTCTGAGAAGAATGCGTATAAAGGACCTGGTTCTCCCGACAAGAAGCATCATCTGGACATATTTCAATTACGCCAGACTGCATGTACTAGGCACCTCACTGAAACTCCCTGAAACACTGGAGTAGATCTAACTTGTCATAAGCGCGGAGGGATCAACACTTCTAAATTTCGTCGTTTAGTCCGGCAACATGAGAGCAGAAAGTTTGGGAAAGAAACACATTGCAAGGCACTTCCTCCCGAAAAATGTGGAATGAAACTGCCAAAACTTTTCGCTGATTCTAGAATAGTTCCTTCCTCGGTACAGGCACTAACGATGTTACCCGATTCTCCGTCCTGAACCATGGATATTTCACATATCTGCCTATTCCAATTGAAATTTTCCAGTGCAGTAGGATCGCTGCTCCTGAAAGATGAAGGTTAGATACAAGCTGCATATTTGGTCACTTCATCCATTAGCACTGACAAACATATGCTTCATTAAAAAATACCTCAGAAATCGTGTCCGGATACTGTACTACCAATAAATCAACACTCTATCCGGCATTCCATGCTGAAATGGCAAATGCCCGTTGTGTATAAACCTATGGGCCTGGAGACAAGATGAGAATGTTGAGCATCTGAAGGCAGCAATAAAAATCGAGCTTAGAACCGCAGTCTGGAACCTGCACAAGCTGTTTGGATCCACAGAGGCTTTCTACCTGTGGTTTCTGACAACCTGCACGATTCATCCGTAGTACTGTCATCTCTGACAGCACGTTGGCCAGTCTAGCCTTCTAAATCCTTTTCGAATTTCCTGACCGTCAGGCTGCAATTGTAAACGGTTCCATCAAAAGCACATTGCAGTGCATCGTTAGAATTGTTACTGCTATCAAGTAGCATACATGATGGTGTGTTCAGTTTGGGAATTTCCCCAACAAGCTGAATCCTAGTGTACGAAATATCAAGTTCGACAAAATAGTTCCCATCAATCGATTTCTGGCGCAGAGTCTTCTGAGTGTAATTAACCTTTCTCGAACTAGTGTGCAGGATTGACTGGTTCAGTATAATTACATGCTCAAGGCCTCTAAAAGAATCACTTGACAAGCCTAGCGGGAAGCATGTAACTGTGGCACTTAATCGAATGAAAGTAATTAATTGCAATTCAAATCAGCATTACAGGTTAACATTAAAATTGACAGGCTGATAATATGCGAGATTACTTTGAAAAGCAATTTTGTCTTTAAAGGCCTGCGCATTCTCGAAATTCTGCAACTGCAGCGAACTCGATTTCTTACGAGGGTTTCTACGAGGTTTTGGATTCATATCGCAACGGAACGAACTCAACTGCACAACCAGACGGTTTATATCCAGGACATTCAAAGAATCCTCAGCGACAATAAGAGACGGTCCAACCGAGCAAACACAACGGAATGAAACAAAAAGCCCGACAATTATTGACAGTAATAAATAAATAAATAAATTCTCACGCGATTTTTAACAAAGACCACATTCGTGGCACCAGAGAAATTCCAATCCCAAGACTCAACGACCGCTACTCCAATCCACAGGACGACACACCAGCAACAGTTAGCACAAACCTATTGATGCAAGCCGCTCTTGCTCGAATCAACCCGTCAATACGCCACTGGTTATTTCAACAACCAATGTATCCAAACACCACAGGTCCACGCACCATGCTCACCGCTTCAATATCATCGCCGCAGCCCCTCTCTCTCCCTTCCCACCCGAAAATCCTGACCAGACGCACAGAAGCTCCATCTACCAACGATGAATCGAAACCATGGACCCTTGGTGCACACACACACCTCAATCCTCAAGTGCAACACCTTGATCCTCCGACAACAAACACCTGGATGCCAACCAACGACTTGCAACGCGAAACCAAAACATCAACTCAAACCCTCCGCCAACAGTCGACATGAAAATGTCAGAACGGTAGCCTTGGAGGAGGACCTGTCTCTCAAGCCATATTTAGCCAAAGGCTTGTTTGCTAGCAGTGCGCATTCTGACACAATGCACGAACGAAACGCGGCGAGATCGGACCACGACGACACTTGATCCAAGAGACTTGCTCCTGGACTGGGAACGTGGCTCGCGAGAGAGCTTCAATGCCCCCGCCCGCCGGTGTCTGCTCTCTTGACCCTTTTTCTAATTTACGCACTGCATGATGCGATTGTCTGAAATGGCTTCCGCACACAAGCAACCTCGCCTCGCTGCCTCCATCCATAATATACCCACCCCCATCCAATGCCCCGCTCGCTTCCAAGGCTTCAGCGACCAACCCGCCTCGCTCGGGGCTCCTCCGGCCAACCTTTCCCCAGCCGCTCGCTCTAGGGCTGCTGTAGCCACCTTTCTCCGCTCCCGCCCTATCAAATTTTTCCTTTTCCCCGCCCCCGCCCTACCTATCAATTTCCCCATTTTTCCCTCCCCCCGCCAGTTTTCCGTTCAACATTGTCTCGTGTCTGCATCTCCCCCAATTTCCCCTGGCCCCATGCAAGAGGCCAACTTGGCAGCCTTTTTCTTTTATGAAGCTTTTTTCCTTTTACTTTTTAGGATCAATTTTAGGTCATGTTTTTACTTTTGTGTCTTTTAATGATGAGTTTCCCCACCAAGGCAACGTGGTGGGTTTAAGTAAAGCTCTTACTTCATGTGATTTTTCTTTCTTGCTCTGTTCTCTTATATTAAAACTTCTGAGACTTAGTTGTGTTCTCGTCTCTATTTACATATATATTATTTATTAATATATATATATATATATGGGTAAATTTTACTCACTGAGAGTGAAATTGTGCATGAATGAGTGAGGATGGGGAGTGGGGGGGGGGGTGCAAGGACATGGAATTGGCTTCAGACAATTGGATCCTAAGCAATTCCCAAGGACAATCAATGAGTGAATGAAGTGGGGGCAGTTATTCAAACATACTTATGTATGCATGCATTCATTCGTTCGTTCGTTCGTTCGTTCGTTAAATTCGGGTGTGATTCACATTGTGAGTGTGAAATTGCCACATGTGGAAAAAGCACTGTGTGTCCTAATTTCATCACACTGTAACTGAGCTACACACGTGGAGACGACCACTGTGGCCAACTTGCTACGCACCTCGGATTTGTTTTACATTGAAATTGTTTATTAGTTTAATTATTAAATTATTTTAATGGTTTTTTAAGGCTGGGATTTAATTTAAAATGCAATATTTACTCTCTACGATAGTGAGTCATGTGAGGGATGGATCGCCACCCTTCAAAATATATGAATTTAGATGATGAAAGAATGGTGTTTTCAGGGTTAACTTTCATTTTTTTGAATGTTTTGCCATTTGCACATGAGTGTGTCATACCAAAGTAACCAATGGTGCTTAGCAGAATTTTACCTAAATTATTGTCATACAATGTATATGTTTGTGAATTGAATAAACTTAATTCCTTACACTCTCTATTTGGGTACCTCGAATTTCGCAAAATATTCATGTTATTCATTATTGTCGATTAAATGTTTCTATAACTAAATATATACAAATGAAACATCAACTAAATAAATAATTTTATTTATAATCAACTTTATTCTTTTCTTTTTTCTTTTTTCTTTTTTACAAAAATATTTCTTTGAATAATAGTCCAGCAACTTTACTTCAGTTGTCATTTTTTTGGTTCTCTTGTATAATTTCTGCATGGCCTTGAAATTGATCAGGAGAAGTTAACTGTATTGGATTGACAAGGACCACTTACTTGATTGGTTGGCATCTCACAATTTGACATGAACATAAAAATAAAAATAAAATATTTTCTATAATTATTGATACCCTATTAGAGCTTGCAATTAACACTTCATGAATGAATGAGTTCCTTCCAAAAAAAATTGCCAAGAAAATTAAACACAGGTGCTTAATCAAACTTGTAAACTTTAATATAAATATCATAATTTTTATCAAAAAAATTATATCTTTGCTATATGGACTTGCTAAAAAATAACGATACAAAGAAAAGAAAAGAAAAAGAAAAAGAAAATTGAAAATACTAATTTTAAGCAAGTATCACCTGGACCATTTGTATTTGTGTAATTTGATGTGTGTGTTATATCAATATACTTAGAGATGGTTTAGACCTCAAGATGCAATTGCTTAGGAACTTGGTTTAGTTTTGTTATTGGTTTTGCACTAAACAAATCTCACTTCCAAACATGGCTCCAATATTATTATTTTTTGAATTCTAGCCCAAAAGAAAAAGAAAATTTTTAAAATGAATATTTAAAAATAACATTAACCTCCCAAAAATAAAAATAGAACAAATAAAAAAACAAATTGGGGTTTAAACACAAAATGAAACATGCAATCTGAAAACCAAAAGTTTCTAAGTTTGAAGAAATAAAAAGTGGTCATATCTTATCCTTAACACTTTTTTTTGGGTCTTTTCCAAATACAACAAAAAATCATAATTGTAACATATGCTAGCTCTTTGCTCCTTTCTACTTTAAGACTCCATTTTTGGAAGTTTAAACCGATTCTCTCTACAAGAAAGCATTACATGTATTAAGTAAACCACATGTGCAAGGTCTCATATCTTCAAATTATTGTTATACAATCATTAAAGCATAGTTTATTTACACTAGCACTTCCTTTACAATTGGCTCAAAGAGCTTTTGTAGGCATCATGATGTTGGTAAAAGTGAAGCATTTTGTGTGTGTTGGTATATATATACACATATAAACACAATAATAAGAAACAAGAAATAACTCTAAATAAATAAATATATATATATATATATATATATATATATGTACATTCATTTCTTCCTATTATTTGTATTTACATTCAATTAAATTTTGATGTTATTCACAGTGCATTTGTAAATTCAAGGTGTGTAGTTTGATTAACTTACCTGGAATAATATGAATATACTGTTGCAACAGACCACTATTTCTATTTCTTACTTTTATCCAAGCGATTTGTCCATACTCAATCAGGTTAAGCCATATTTTGTTGTACATTTTTTCATCTGACCAAAATATGCCGTTGAACACAGCGTCGTTACGTTCCATCCAGAGGAGCCATGTTATCCTGCCTCTAAGAAACAACCACAGACGGCTGACTTTTTCGAATCTCCTTGGGGTGCGGTGGGCAAAGATGCTGTGTTTCCACGTCGGAGAAAACTCTATTATCGGGATGCGTCCATTTACTCTCCATCCCTACTGCATTGAGGCTCCTTCGCGAGCTGTCGAGATGCTGGATAGTGGATACTGATTCCTCAACTAGTGATCTCATGATATGTTCTTCCCATTCCCAAGCCCTTTGAGCGGAAGGGCATTCCC